GGATATTGCTGGGGTGTCGGAGGGGTTTTGCTCGGGAGGCTTCAGGCAGGCTGCTGAAGCGCTCTGTGGGACTGGTTTGTGGCCGGTTTGGAAAGGTCACCAGTCAGGGAGCTGTAAGGAGCCCCGGATTTGAGCAATTCGCCCTGAGCGGACGCCCTCAGCTGTGCCCAGACACAGCCCGGTCCGTCACAGGGCCAAATTAATCAACAGTTTATTAAAAAATCCTTCCCATCCAAAGGCCTCCAACCATGCCCATGAGCTATTGCCTGTTTCTGGCAGTGCCTCTAGCCCCACCCCAAGAAATAGGAAATGCAGCCAATAAAGCCTCCAAACGCCATGTAAAGTCCTAGGCAATACCATTTAGAAGAAAAGAGCCAACCAGGCCAGCATGTGTCCTACCTCCCCAGTAACAGCTTCACAGATTCCTTTGGGGCTTTCGTTACACCGGTCGTAATAGTGCTTTCTGCACACAGTGAGCTGGACTCTCCCTTGCACAGGCTGGCCATAGGTGTAGCTAGAGGAGAAGTGCAAAAATGAATCAGTTCACAGCCCCGTTGCCAGGACTGTCAGGAAACCAGCATAGGCTGAACCATATTTTGGACTAGAAGCCACCTAAAATCCAGATAAGGCTACTTCTGCTGAACTCAGCTTCAGACATCTTTCTCTCCCCATTCCCTGCCTCTCATGGAAATGCCATTACTGCCTTACACAGCATGTGTCCTATAAAGGTGTCCAGTAGGCACTATTACACAGGATTGCATGACACTTCTCCCTGGTCATTGCATGATGTGATTACATGGGAATTTCCTCTAATACCTTTTTATTAATCCCATGTCTGCCAGTTTCCTCCTGTCCATGTCATTGCTGTCCCGTGGGAGCTAACGCATTATCAGTTCTGGTAGTGCAAAGGACGGAGAGGTGAAAAGCAGGGAATAAAGAGCTGATTTTGGGGAGAGGCTGTGCTGCACCCACCTGCGACTGATGAGGTGTGTCTACACTACATGGCTTTTAGCAACAGGGCTGTGTGGATACAGGCACGTCACTAAAAGTCAGACAGTGTAAGCCATGTTTATCCACACTTATGGGGACAAAAACCTTCCACTCCCTGGCTACATCTACATTGGCCCCTTCTCTGGAAGAGGCATGTTAATTTCCAACTTCAGAATAGGGAAATCCGCGGGGGATTTAAATATCCCCCGCGAGATTTAAATAAACATGGACACCGCTTTTTTTCCGGCTTGGGGAAAAGCCGGAAAAAAGTGTCTAGACTGGCACGATCCTCTGGAATAAAGCCCTTTTCCAGAGGATCTT